TAATATACCACTGGTTAAGTTAACTAGCCCCTATTTTTACCTCTGGTTAAGATAACTAGTACCTAACTTTACCCTCTTGTTAAGGTAACTAGGACCTCGTTTTAGCCCTGGTTAACGTAACTGGGTTCTAATCTACCCCTGGTTAAGGTAACTAGACCCTACTTCTGCCCTTGTTAAGGTAAACTAGGACCTAGTTATAAGTCTGGTTAAGGAGTTTATTTTACCCCTGGTTAAAGTTACTAAACCCTACTTTTAGTCCTGGTTAAGGTAACTAGGACCTAGTTTTCTCCCTGGTTATAGTAACTAGACCTTACTTTCTTCCCCTGGTTATGGTAACCAGCACCTCGTCTCTTCCCTGGATGAGGTGAATAGAACCTATGTTTACCCCTGGTTTATCCAGGCAACTACATGTTACTGTGGCCCAAACTGCGGTATCTATGCCGCACTTTACCTTGACACTGATGTTTGAGAGTGATTGTCCAGGCTGGTAGGTGAGGGCACCCAGAAACGCCTCATCCAACATGCCACCATCATCTTCGTCCAACACAGAGTAGGTCTTTCCTCCTGTATTCATTGCCAGACTTTCCAGGGCCATGTCTGCGTCTTTCCTTTAATAGAATTGAAATAGTTTATTATGCCAGAAAGTTAAATAAAAAAATTATTATTATTTATTCTTTAATAAACTTGGATGAGCCTTTTGAGAGTTGTTGCTATCTTTAGAAGGGTTTCTGATAAATTACATTTAAATTAAGATATCTAAATAGAATGGAGTAGAAATCTGAGTCATATCGAGTGCATAATTTACAGTCAATAATTTATAACACTACTACACATCCATATACATGTATAATAATATAATTTAGATGTACACAATTGTCTTACCTGTAGGAGAGATGCAAAAAGAAAACTATATTTTCAAATGAGTTGAAGAAAACTAATAATTGTGTCAATGGCTGTCTTAATAAAGAACTGAGCGAATGACTGTCTTTTTAATTAAATAAGTGACTGACTGTCTTATTAAGTAACTGGGTGAGTGAATGAGAAACTGACTAAAATAACTCCCTGATCCTTAAATTCATACTGTAGTACCCGAAACTATGTCAAGCGTTCGACTCCTGAGGCCTATGAAACACTTGGTACTACTCTCGCGCCTCCACCATCTGATGCTGCTGAATGTTGCCACATCTTAGTTAAACAATTCCCTGTGTTTGCTTTTATCTAAGATGTTCGTAAATATAATCTGCGTATACTCAATATACGTTGACTCTACCGGGGAAGTTCCCCACAAGCCGCTGTCGTTGTTAAATGAAAGGGCGGGGAGCCTAATCACTATTGAGGCCCACTCCTCGCCACATTTTATGCAGAGCCCTATTATCCCGGGCTTGTTTTTTGTGTTGTCAGTTGCCATTGGGGATATACCATCGCCGACTGCTGCAGATGTGATCGTCCTAGATTTTTGTGTGTGTTTTTACGGGGCCTTGGGGGCGGAAAAATATGAGTAAAAAGAAATTAAGCTAGAAAAAAAAGGTTGTATTAATCTACACCACAAAGATGACGGAAAACCAGCTTTTTAAAGTGAGACAGATTGTATAAGTAATGTATGGAAACACAGAAGAAGGCAGAGCATTCCACAGCTTGTCTGTGCGAGGAAAGAAGGATGTAATATAACGGGTTATTCTAGTGTCACCGACATCCACAGAGAAACGGTGGGCACCGCGGGCAAGCCGTGTGTTACGATCCCACGGCCTTGCCGGCGGTACACAGGATGCCAAATCCACCGAACACTGCCAGTGAAAGTACTGTAAGAGAGAGTGAAGCAAAATTGCGACGAAAAGAAAGGGAAGAGAGATTATCAATTAAAAGAGGAGAGTCAATAAGACGAAATGCCTTTGATTCCACCCTATCTAACAGTTGGACAGAAGAAGAGCCACCCCAGATATGAGAACAGTACTCCAAGTTAGGACGAATGAGTCTCTTATAAACTTGATGCAACTGCTCAGGAGTGAAATAGCTACGGCATCTGTACAGCATTCCCAGATTTTGGGAGGCAGCTTTAGCAATGCTGAGGATGTGTGGCTTCCATGACATATTCGAAGAAATGGTTAGGTCTAGCATATCCATTTTGAATTTGGCAGAATGATTGCGTCCTGAAATGTGATTGGTGGGAGATCACCTAATTTGAAAAGTGTAATTGGCAAATACTGAGTTTTATTACGATTGAATTTAATCAAGTTTCTACCTCACCATTCGGAGATGCTGAACAGATCCACATTGATAAATTAAATGATATCAGCTCTAGAAATATATCTAGTTTGTGAATTAGGAGGTAGGGAAAAATGTGAAGAAGAGGGAAGAGTAGAATCATGAGTGTACGAATGGATAGAAATAGTCGTACTGTGAAGTTGTTTCTATACACTTAAAGAACAATTGCTCTATCTCTTAGACCAGAAACTGCTGTACATAAAAAAAGCTGCTGCATTTAAGGAAGACAGTGTATTTGAGGAAGAAAGTGTATTTGTGGAAGAGAGTGTATTTGAGGAAGACAGTGTATTTGAGGAAGAAAGTGTATTTGAGGAAGAAAGTGTATTTGAGGAAGACAGTGTATTTGAGGAAGAGAGTGTATTTGAGGAAGACAGTGTATTTGAGGAAGACAGTGTATTTGAGGAAGAAAGTGTATTTGAGGAAGAAAGTGTATTTGAGGAAGACAGTGTATTTGAGGAAGAAAGTGTATTTGAGGAAGACAGTGTATTTGAGGAAGACAGTGTATTTGAGGAAGAAGGTGTATTTGAGGAAAAGAGTGTATTTGAGGAAGAAAGTGTATTTGAGGAAGACAGTGTATTTGAGGAAGACAGTGTATTTGAGGAAGAAGGTGTATTTGAGGAAGAAGGTGTATTTGAGGAAGCGAGTGTATTTGAGGAAGAAAGTGTATTTGTGGAAGAGAGTGTATTTGAGGAAGAAAGTGTATTTGAGGAAGAAAGTGTATTTGAGGAAGAAAGTGTATTTGAGGAAGACAGTGTATTTGAGGAAGAAAGTGTATTTGAGGAAGAGAGTGTATTTGAGGAAGAGAGTGTATTTGAGGAAGACAGTGTATTTGAGGAAGACAGTGTATTTGAGGAAGAAAGTGTATTTGAGGAAGAAAGTGTATTTGAGGAAGACAGTGTATTTGAGGAAGTGAAATTGATAGGTAGTTTGAGAAGACAGTATTTGAGGAAGAAGGTATTTGAGGAAAGAGGTATTTGAGGAAGAAGTGTATTGAGGAAGACAGTGTATTTAAGGAAGACAGTGTATTTTGAGGAAGAAGGGCCTGGAGGTATTGAGGGGCGAGTATTTGAGGAAGAAAGGGCTTGTGAAGAGAGGTATTTGAGGAAGAAAGTGTATTTGAGGAAGAAAGTGTATTTGAGGAAGAAAGTGTATTTGAGGAAGACAGTGTATTTAAGGAAGAAAGTGTATTTGTGGAAGAGAGTGTATTTGAGGAAGACAGTGTATTTGAGGAAGACAGTGTATTTGAGGAAGACAGTGTATTTGAGGAAGACAGTGTATTAGAGGAAGAAGGTGTATTTGAGGAAGCGAGTGTATTTGAGGAAGAAAGTGTATTTGTGGAAGAGAGTGTATTTGAGGTAGGCAAAAGTGAATTTGAGGAAGAAAGGCCTGAGAAGAAAGGTATTTGGAGGAAGGAGTGTATTTGAGGAAGAAAGGTATTTGAGGAAGAAAGGGGTATTTGAGGAAGACAGGTATTTGGAGGAAGAAGGTATTTGAGGAAGAGAGGTATTTGGGAAGAGGGGAGTATTGAGGAAGAAAGGTATTTGAGGAAGAAGTGTATTTGAGGAAGAAAGTGGCATTTGAGGAAGAAAAGTGGTCGGAGGAAGAAAGGGTTTGAGGAAGAAGGTGTATTTGAGGAAGAAAGGTATTTGGAGGAAGAAAGTGTGTATTTGAGGAAGAAGGTGTATTTGTGGAAGAGAGTGTATTTGGAGGAAGAAAGGAATGAAAGAAAGGGCTGAGAAGGAAAGGTGGTTTGAGAAGAAATGGGGTTTATAAAGTGTATTTGAGGAAGAAAGTGTATTTGAGGAAGAAAGTGTATTTGAGGAAGAAAGTGTATTTGTGGAAGAAGGTGTATTTGAGGAAGTCGGTGTATTTGAGGAAGACAGTGTATTTGAGGAAGAAGGTGTATTTGAGGAAGACAGTGTATTTGAGGAAGAAGGTGTATTTGAGGAAGACAGTGTATTTGAGGAAGAAAGTGTATTTGAGGAAGAAGGTGTATTTGAGGAAGTCGGTGTATTTGAGGAAGACAGTGTATTTGAGGAAGAAAGTGTATTTAAGGAAGACAGTGTATTTGAGGAAGAAAGTGTATTTGAGGAAGAAAGTTGTAGTGATGGGTTGTCAGACCACAGCTTACATCTCAGAAACTCTAGGCCTTCCCTAGGTCAAGTGTAAGGGTATCCGTCGCAGGTGCTCAAGGATGTTGTAAATCAACTAGCTCCCCCTCCCATGTCACACATGTAAGAGGGCACCAGCCGGCTCTCTCCCAATATACACAATGTCCTACACCGCAGAGGGGGGCCAGTCTTGACCCGACATTAGGGGGGTCAAGTGTAACTCTCACGGTGGACCGGGGGTTACAAATCAACTAGCTCCCCTCGGCGGGAGGTGTAGTGAGGGGTTGTCAGACCACAGCTTACATCGCGAGGAAAGCCAGACTTGACCCGACATTAGCCGAGGTCGAAAGTATAGGGTAACTCTGCGGTTGACCGGGATTGTAAATCAGCCTAGCTCCCCTCCCATGTGACATGTGGCCCCAACAAAACATGTAAGAAGGCACCAGCCGACCCTCTTCCAATATACAATAACCTACTCTCTGAACAAAGGCCGGACCTGACCTCACAATTAGCCAGGTCAAATGTAACCCTTGGAGCCCAACTCAAGGGGCCACAAATCAACCAGGGTCTCTCGTGTCACACGGCCCCACCTGATGACTTCTCCTTACATCTCAGAAACTCTAGTCTGACCCGACGTTTGAGAGGTCAAGTGTAGGGGAACTCTCACGGTTGCTCTCCCAATATACACACGGCCCCACCTGATGACTTTCCCAGATAGTTCTGAAAAGTCCAGACATGACCTCACATTTGCGAGGTCAAATGTAAGGAGACCCTTCGCCGCCCCCCCTCCCCCCCGGCCAGCTGAACCTGACGGCTCGCATCCCAATATATAGGACGTCCTGGTCCTCCCTCGAGGGATTCGCAGAGAGGGAGTTGTCTTGTAACAAGGTGGCCAGCTACTACACCACCAGGCCTGCTCGAGAGAAGTCAAGGGCCGGAGGCAAGTCGCCTCCGGTCAGGACCGAGACTTCCCTCCGGCGCCGAGCTAAGCAGTCTCCCATAGAGACAACCCAGGACTACCTGCTAGGCCTCCCCTAGGTCACGTGAGTGTTTGTCAGAGCTTTCCATGGGATGAGTTACCTACGTGGGAAGTGTATTCATTTCATGTTCGTGTCCGAGAATCAGAGTGTCTAGTAACGTAATATGATGTCCTAGTAACGTAAATATAATGTCCTAGTAACTTCAATAGAAGGTGTTATTAATGTGTCCATGTCATGTTCGTAATTAATAAAGAG